GACGAGCTGGATGTTAGACGTTGGATGGAAACACCGGATATCCAGTCAGTGGGCGGGCGGGAGCTTCCTACAAATGTCAATTTATCATTTCCGCTGGTGAGGCGACGCAAATTGCAGAGCTTAGGAAATGCTTTGCGCGCCTGTTTAAAAGGCATTTTAACAGGGCAAACACGCAGACATTAGACCCGCCACACACATCACCATCCATATAAATGGGCACTAATGGTCCTAGCCCCTTTTTGCCCTACCCAACCCTAACCAACCGTACCCCATCTGTGGTATGCATAATTTTCTCTGACTTGGCGCCGACTTTCTTCAATTTGTGGCCATCCTGGAGTCGGACACAGATATTAAATATCATTCGGGCACGCATTTCTGGCATTTGTCCGGCTCTTTAATGCCGCCCCAGTGTCCAATTTTATGCATTTCTTTCGTGTAAATATTCCGCTCTTCCCCTTCTCATACAATATTATTCATATTTGTGGGCAAGGCCATTGCCAAAAAGTATTTTTAGGCCAGGACAGGACACCCGTGTCGAACAATCCTCTATCACTTTCCCCGGCGTCAAATTGAAATTAATGCGTTGGGCCAACGCGGCGGATACGTGTTATTCGAACGCCTGACTTGCCAAACGCCCAGGAAAACCAAATCGACTGTGAACGTTCTGCTAAATTTGAATTTTAATGCTTTTGGCTGGTAAAATTTAACGACTCTCGATATCTTGGCGTGAAAATATTTTATAGTTATTGATTTTGCAGCCTGTCAACGCCAAATAGAGCAGGAAAAGGTGTTTTTATATCTTTAAAACGATTGGATAATAAATAAATGCGCTCAAAAATATAGTTTTATGTCAATGATTGTTATACATTTTTATTTGACACTTTTGAAATAGAAACAAAAGTTCACAACAGCTTTAAAATAATCCTCTACAAATTTATTATTTAGTAAATATGTCAAGATCAGAGTGTTCGCCTAACTTATTAAAGCTTGTATAAATAATAACTCATGATTTGTAGTTTATTTTAATATTACTAACATTTATTCTGTTTGCCTAATTGAATCCTTGCTCAACCCTTGGCTACACCAAACCTTACCCGACACTCTTGGCCAAAAGCTTATCAAAAGGACACACCCTGGAACAGGAATTGTGCTAATTAGACCGACAACAGCCACGCACATCATCAACATGACCATCTTTCCACCAATGGAGGAACAAAGGCCGCACCCAGGTTACGGCAAGTGTAAACAGAATACGTGTTTCCACAGAAAATCATTTGCTCAATAACTCAAATTGACTGCTCGGTGGCAAGTAGGACACCATATTTACTCTCAATTAGTCGAACATTAGCAGGACATTTCGGGCAGCAAACAAGTTGCTACATAATTAACCAAGTGGAATAAGTTAGGACTATTCCACAAAAGAGAATGGAAATCGCTTCAGAAATTGTCAAAATTTAATTAAAATTATGCTAATTCTAGCTATAAACGCAAGTATTTAACTTATGTCTTTCGCCTTATGTCTTTGAAGGAGTCCGCAGTCTTTTTAATCTGTCGCTAATTCCTGTTTTTGTGCGAGGAAAATCGGATTTGATACTATTATACAGGGTAATACTGGAAATTATACCAGGTTAGATAAGCTCTAATCTTTAAAAACATTACTTTGTACTGTCGTCTTTATACAACTCAATTTTGATTTATTAAAACTCTAAATGGTTATATTTTCAGGATCCCGCTAACAAAATATGTTTTAGATAATTTGAAACACCAAATATTTCAAGCGAATTATATCAAAATTAGTTTTATAATTAAGCGTGTTCATACTGAGTACCTAAAATATACAAAATAATACTATAAATTAGGCAAATGACTTAAGAAAATAAAATATTTACTAGATATCCACACAACCACTTGAAAGCTTACACATCCTTTAGAGAGCATCTTCTAGTGGGTATAATTCCTTAGTGCCCATTGGGGTGTGTGCAGAGTTTAATTGCTTGTCTCTGGCAGGAACAACAAACACTGGATGGAACTTATTTGCATTTCGCATTAGGCAGAGGCATCTGAAAAGGAGCTTTCCAAGGACTTAGCATGTTCCGCCACCCTTCGCCCCGGGGCCTGTTTGTTTAGGCTTATACTTTGCATGAGTTGACATCTTTATTGCCAATTTATGTCCTTCCCGGCCCATTCGCAATTCGCAGGTAATTCCGCTTTGGGCGTGGCCAAGTTCATAAGGAAATGAAATAAAACGAAATGGGCCCCGTCATCACCATTTCTTAATTAGTTAACAGGCCGCAAAAAAGTGTACTGAGTAAACCCAGTTTCGAATTAAACTTTAACGGATTTATGTTTTTAATCTTGTTTTACTTGGAACCGAAATAAGTTTGAAATACAGCCTACGTGTTTGTAATACGAAATTTTTTGGGTGGCCAAATAAATGGCGGCAGTTTTATGGTTGATTTGGGTTTTGCCTTCCCTTCCTTAGTTTCTTTTTATGTTTCATTATGCCTTTCTTTTATGCTTCTGCCGAGGAAAATCAAAAAAGTTTGAAGAGCGGCCTAAACTTTATAGTAAGTAACTTTATTGTAAGCAGAAAGATAAGGCAGCAGAAAGGCAGCTGGTAAATATTTATGGAACACTATAGCCCAAATGAAATTGAATATTGAATAGTCTTGTTGGTTTCGAGAGCTCATTAAAACTTTCCAACTATGCTTCAACTCTCTGGGATTATTTTACTCATCATATTCCAGGAAATTTTTTCGACAAAGCCCCAATTAGCTGTGGTAAAATTTTACCAGGAAAACAAAGTGAGAGCAGCTGCCGTGAAAAACGCCTACATATATTCGCAAAATGAAAAGCAGCGAGCAGCAGGGAAATTGCTAAGCAATAATCATAATTTGTGGCATTAGCAGGAAACGAAATTTTCTGGCTAACTTTTGCCGTGCAACCAGCCATTGATAAAGTGTCGCTATACAATTTATCAGCACTTCCCTTCGGGGAACTGGGAAATGAAAAGCGGGTCGGGCGGGAAAATGTGCGGAAAACGGCGGCTAAACAAACAGTTACTGCCACTGCTGCTGCTGCTGCTGCTGCACCTGCCACTGGGGAAAACTGTGGTAATTTATGAGTCATTCCCTGGAAAAGCTGTGTGCTCTCGTTTTGGCTCCGTTGGTTTTTCATATTTTCATTATTTCGAAAAGGAGCAAATAAACCGCACAAAGTTCCCCAAAAAAGAGGAACTAAATGTTTGTGGCCCTCGCTTCTGCTTTATTTTTTGGTGGTCTGCCAATGCCATTACCCGAACTTTGCATCCGAGTTTTGCGATGAGTAAAAAGTTATTGTGGTTAAAATTTAAATGAATACACAAGTAAATTGAAAATAATTCTAAGTAAATGTGTTTTCATGGGAAAAGAAGATTAAATTGCAAGGGATTTGTATTTTTTGGTGTACCTAGTACAAATAGGAATTCATTTTAAGTGAACAAAGTGAAGCTTAAATTGCAAAGTAAAAAATTACTTTGTAATAAAAAGTTATCTATTTTGCATAACATTACAACCATTATATCTAACAACTTACAATCTCTTAGATGTTTTCTGCTCTGTATTAAATATGAAAAGCTTTTCTTTTGGCTTAAGTAAACGTTATTATCACCCAGCTCCGATTCATATGTCGTAAACTCAACTTGTGCCCCCAAAAGCAAAATGTGGAATTTGTATTATGATATTGCCCATATCGCTGGCCATAAAAGAAAACTCTGGCTAGGCTTATTAGATAACATAAACAGGAGCATGAACCGCGTTAACGTGCATTAGGAAGGAATGGAGCCCAAGGCGACTGGCCGGCAACGGGGCGGCTACTTAACCAAGTTAAGAATCTTACACAAATTTGCCATCGGACGCATAAAAATGCTTGCGGATGTAGTGGCCTGTAATGGAGTGCAGTGTATACATATATCCGTATATATATTTTTGTATACAGTTAAACAATTCATATTTGCGACACCATTAAGCAGGGGAGGCGGGGCGAGCTGGGAAAACTGGGGGAAAATGGGAAACTGCGAGCAAAAAGGCAACTGCGATAACGACGTACGCCCAGCGTGTTGATACAGTAAATAATACTGAAACCCCTGGTCACAGGATTTCCTTTCATCCGCACACACAACACACTCGGAAGAAAAGAAATGAGATCAAGTACACTAATAAAAAACGAATTGAATCCTTTAGTTTCATATTTAATTAAAATAATTTCGCTTTGATTTTTATTAAAGTAGAATATATTTAATTTAAGGCTTTTATACAATAATTTCAAAATACATTTTTGCGTGAAATGATTTTTTTCTTTTGTATAAAATTTTATTTTGTTTTTTTTTTTAAATTCAATTTGCCGATTTTTTATTTTGTTTTTTTTTTTAATTCAGTTTGCAGATTTTTACTTTAAATACTTTATATCTTTATCAGAGAAGATAACTCGGTAACTGAACAGTTTCTTCTTTCAACAAAATTCTTTAATTTGGTCTGTACTTCATTTTCTAAATGAATTTTTTATTTAATTATTTTGTGTTTAAAAAAAAATATTTTTGAGGATGTAACAAATTTATTTCGGAAACTTTTATTTCGTTTTTGATATAAAAGATTTTTTTTTAAACTTCCCTTAATATAAGGACGTCGAAAAAGGATCTGTATTTGAAAGTAATCTGTTAGCCTTTTTCTCGGCTTACATTTTTTTATGGGAAATGAAGAGATTGTCTTTAGTTAGGCTTTAAAATGAAGTACATTTTGAGAACACCTTACTAAATATTTATTTAATCAGCTATTTATTTAGTTCCTGAAAAAATCTCTTAGCATAGGGAAGTATCAGCTCGAAAATGTGTAAATTTTTCAGGATGGATAAGTGAACTAAGCTCGCGTCCTTTTTTTCCGAGTGTACCCACACACACACGCACCGAATGTTGAATAGGTATTTAATATGAATGTATTGGCTATCGGAGATTGAACGGGCCTTACCTTCGTCCTCGTCGTCGTCGTTGAACTCCGTGATTGCCGCCTTGTCGCAGGGTCGGTCAATGCCATTTGTTGCTTCCGACTTGCCACTCTCCCCGCTCAAGCCGCCGCCTCCGTTGGCCGCCTTTGCATCGCCATTGGAGGTAATTGAATTTGATTTGGCGTGATTTGAATGATTGCCCGCGGAGGACTTGGAGGACTCGCCGCCCTCCAGGGGAGGAGCACTCGGCTCCGGTTCGCCATTGCTGACCGCGTCCATGGCGGCGCCATCCTTGGTCTTCAGCTCCTGGCTGGTATTGCAGCCCATCTCACTGGATCTTGGACTCGGATTTCGGATTCGGATTCGGATTTGGCAATTTAGTCCGCTGCCTTTGGTGGGGTCTCTCCGCTTCCAGTTGGCCTAGGTTACCCTTATTTTGTTTAATCAATTGCACACACACACACCACTCACACAGACACACACATGCAACCGAGTTGGAAACTAGTTTATGAACTATACTTGTTGTTTCTGGGCCAATTTTGCACTTTGACTTTCAGCAGCCGAAACCTTTTTGCATAAAATGTTTAGAAAAATACGTTGTGCTTGGGTTTTTTATTCATCAAAAATGTGGGTGTTTACAAAAGTCGTTAGAAAAAGGTGCACAACCACAGGTTACTGGCCAAAGAACTCGCACGGAACCGGAAGCGGAAACCAGCTGAATGGCAGACTCGCAGCGAAAATGACTGTCTCTGGCACAAGCTCAGGCACAACTGACTTTGACACTGAACGGCGCCGGCGACGCGTCCTCACTGCGGATGCCACGGACCCCGAATGCCTCGATGCCTCGATGCCTGAATGCCCGACATCCCCACATCCTGCAGGAGCTGGAGTTTCGAGCTCAACAAGCAGAGACGCGCCAGCCGGCAGTCAACGACACTCAAAGCCCAGGGAAACAGAGAGCCAGGACCTGCCAGAGAGCCAAAAGAGAGCCATCTCTCTCGCAGGACTCACAGTGGGTTGCATCGCAGTAATAATTGGATTCACACATTCGGGGAAACACTTTGCTAAAAAAAATTATCATAAAACATCCAATTTAAAACGGAACCAGATGCTGAAATTATGAATATATTTTAACTTGGTAATTTATAAAAAAAAATTTAAAAATATTGAATTTAATTTGAAACCTAATTTTTAACCTACGATTCAAAATATGTTCTATAGACTTAAACAAAGTCAACAAAGAAATATAAAATCTATATTTAATTGGTTTTTAAGTTGTCTTTGCTAAAATCTAGTTTATATTGACTTTTCTTTGCTGTTTCCTTAAAATTTTCGAAATAAAAAATTAAATAACTAATAAAACCTTGTCCTATTTTGAATTTATTTTTTGGGTAAAAAATATTGGGATATTATCAATAAAAAAAGTTGCATATTACTTATATTACTGTTTTAAAATTTTAACTTTAGAATTTTTCTGGATATATTTAATGTCTAAAGAAGAGGTCCTCTCTTTTTTTATAAAACTTAAAACCATAAGGTTAAATGTACTTTGCCAAAAGCGTTTTCTGAACGCTATTAAAACATATGAACTTAGTTTCTAATTGTCAAGTCTAAAGAAAAAGTTTTGGATATTGTTAGAGAATATCTCTCTAACCTAACAAATATTTAATGTTGCAAAATGATAGTTGACTGTTATAGACGAAATCTTGCTTGAATATTGTCTTATAACTATGATTAACTACAATTTCGACCATTGCTGTATTTCAGTTTTCAAAAATATTTTTGTAGCATTTATTTTTGGCAGTATAACTGAAGTGCATCCCACTGTTTCGAAACTTTAAGGACCAGAAAAGAGAGCCAGGGAAGAGAGTGTCTTTCAGCCAGGCGGCAACAGCAGCAGCTGCCTCTGTTGTTGTTAGCCAGCTCTGGCTGCAAACTTTTTCGCAAATAAACAAACCGAGGGCCAAAGCCGACTCACAGATACGCACGCACACAGGCGCAAGTACAATGTGGCTTAGAGGAGCCACAGAAACAGAAACCGTTGCGGTGGCAGCAGAATCCGAAGAGCGGCACGGCAGCCATGGCAATGGCATCATCATCGAGGAAGCAATGGCCAGCATACACACACATACACTATCACACACACACACTAGCAGAGGCCAAAGGACTCTCGCACTCACACTCACGCACATTGCGTGTAACCGGGCGTAAACAGCTGAATGGAAGCCCAGCCAAAGGGAATGCAAATAAAAAGAATATTACCCAGCTAAAAACCTGGCCCATAAAAATATCAATGAATACAAGCCGCTCCTTTGAGCACTTATACATAGCTACCTACCAATTCATAAAAGCAACTAGCTTGTACATCTCTTTAAGCTCAGCTGCCATCATCTGGCTTCCTTTTCTGTTTTCTTGACGGTAGTTATTTTTGGGAGTTGGCTCTTCGACTGCGGATGTGCTGTAAAATCTGTGAGAGTGTGCGTGAGACAAATGAATTGGTTCCCTCTTCGGCATCCTGATTATATACTCATCTATTACTATTTGTCTTGAACTACTTATAACATTAAAAAAAATGTATTCATTTTTCCTTATATAAAAGAAATATTATAATTTAATATATAACTCTGAAAATAATGCAAGCATTAGTAATACTTTGTATTAAACATGAAATGCTATGATGAAAATTTAATCAACATCAAAAGCATTAATTAATTTAAATTCCTTATATTAGAAAAATTAAATTAAATTTAATTTAATATATAACTCGGAAAACAATCTAAACATTAGTAATATTTCAATATAATAATTCAAATAACATCAACAGCATTCATTTATTATAATTCACAAGACAGAACCACACTTAAATCACACCTTTATAGAAATATACAATCGACAAATAAGTTAAAATATTTTTTAATTTTCTTATCGTTTAGGTAAAATTTTCCTAAAGTGTAAATAATTTGTTTACCTTAGATATTGTACCTTAATAATATACACAAAGTGCGTTTAGTCTTGTTGAAGTGCAAACCACGAATAATCATAAAGTGGGGGATACTTGCGTTAACCTTGTGGCAATTTTAATCAAAACTTCCCCCGGTTAGCCATAAAGTTAGTCCCACATATGTGCATGTGTTATTATATTTGTAGGTACAGCTGTTTGAGCTTATGCAAATTAACTTCACATTGCAAATGTGGCATAAAATGCCGGAATAAACAAACCGAAATTGTGCAGAAACTCTTTGTATGGCCATGGTAAATATGCACCACCAACAGAATGTTCTTTTAAACACAAAATACATTAATTAACAAGAGACATTTTTAATTAAGTTAATTTAAATTTCATTGGAAAGTAAAAGCTTGACAAAAGTTTCAGTCAAGTTAAAAAAAAACACGACAGATAACCAATTTATACAAATTAATTGAATTAAAAGCGGCATAAATTCCGCCAGGGCTTTGAGAAGCCCAATGAATTTCGATTCACTTTAAAAATTCATACCAAAAGTAAAACGAAAAATGAATATTGATTGGATAAAACCCAAGATATTGAAGTTTAAAGATAATTAAGTTTGCCACAATTCCCTTTAAATTTTCACCAAAATTCTTTAGCAGGAACGATGCCAAAAAGGCCAACAATTAAGTGCGAAGAACCAGCATACAGCTGCGACTGAATCGCCTCCTTTTCGGCAGTTGCCCAATGGCAAAAACGAAAACAGGATGGGTCAGGACAAGTGCCAGAACTTGTCGTTGCCCCAAAACTGATGGAAAAACATCCTTGAAAGCGTGAATTCGCACACCCCAAAAATGTCGGGGCAAACAGCAGAGAGATCCCCCAAGCTTGGTGGGAAAATTCATGGGCGCAAATTCCGAAGTCCCTTGGCACTCGAATGCTACTTCATGACGACAGAAACGCGGCAGCAACACATAAACCCTTTCAGGGGCTGATAAAATGACTGACAACGCGGGGCTCTAGACTCCAGATCTCGAGAGTCTTAGGCCCGAAAACTTTGCGCATCATTTGCCAGCAGAAATGCCAGGTCATTATGTTGCCCAAAAGATATAAATAGCTTTGTTTTTCAAATAAAAATGTTTGGCTTTTCGATTTTTCTTGTTATTTTTTGTGTTTTTTTTTTGTATTTTATTGAATGGGAATAAGAAAAATACGTATACGCCGCGTGGCTGCGAACTCTGGCTTGCCCTTTGCTCTTTGCTTTGCCTCCTCCCAGCTCATTTGCCGCCTCCTTACTTTGGGTCTATTTTATTTATTTATTTTTTCTTTTTTTTCTGGTGGGCCTTCCTCCCGGGACTTCTGCCAAAAGGAAAGTTTTTCGCGTCCTTTTTTTTGCGTCTTTTTCAAGTCTGAAGTTCAGCGGTGCGCAACAATTTTCAGGTCTACTAGAAAAACTGACAGCGAGCAAATAAATTTAAAGAGAAATTCTCTGTGTGCTCTTGAAGTATCACGCTAAAGGTTTTCGCAAACACAGAATCCGCATTTCCACAGTACTTGAAAACAGCGGAAACTTGGCAAGTAATTTATCTATATTTCGCTTCCGCGGCTTTACTCCTCCATTTCCGTTTTTCCTTGAATGAATATTATTTTTTTTTCCAAAACAATTTATTCACATTCCTGTCTCATTATTTATTCGACTTTTCACCTTGACCGTGTCCTTTATCTCACGTCCCTCACATCTGAATATCTGATGTCATGTCGGCGATAAAAGCGTTTCTTTTGTCACCTCCGTTTCTTTTGGCCGACTTCATCTGCCGCCTTGATTTGTGGCAACATAGAAAGTCACTAAGGGTAATTGAATTTGGCCCGAAATGATATATGCACGGATATTCTCTGCTGTCCCCGTGACAACTCCAATTAATCATACGCAACGTTGAAAGGGCGTTGAAATGAAATATCCATCGTACGTGTGATTTAATTAATTATTTCTTATTAGTGGTGAAACATGTTAAGCCAAAAAAAAAAAATACCATATCTAAATGGCGTTTATAGGAATGGCTTTTGGAATACAGATATATTTTCAAAGCCCTAGCTATGAAAACTATTTGTTATGACAAAAGAAGGGGGAATTTCATTTATTTTGAAGAAGCAAGCCTTTTTCTGCGACTTGGCATTTATTATTTAAAATAGGACTGCTTTCATGAGCAAAATGTCAAAACAACTTTAAAGGAGCTACACTCATTGCATGGCTAGCAGCATTCATATCCGATAACCCAGCTCTTGGCCAAATGCCAAGCCAATATTAACCGGGAATATGAGCACACAATAGATGGCCAAGGGGTGGGCGAAACGGATCGGATTGGATCGGTCTGGCAGACAAGCGGCAAACCAAAAAATGACAGTTCGGATGTCAGGAGTGCTCGATGTTGACTTTAAAATCACATTCAAGAGCTCGCTCCGCACACTCAACTGGACTCGTATAAGCAGTTCAATTACACGACTCCCTGATGCATGCATGCACCGTCTGCCACGCCTACTCCCAACCACCCACCACCACCCACCGCCCACACACCCACACAGGCATGTTTATTGAAAGGTTACATGAATGACACACACGCCACAAAAACTGAAGCACCCACACAGACAGACATCGACCGCAGACACACACTCACTCAGGGGCGTGCGAGGGAGTTTGACAGGGGGTTGGGGATTTCGGAAAATATACCCATTTAATTAAATTCCGATTAATTAATTGGTATTTATTAAACGGAAAAAGGTGGAGTTTTCGAAGTGTTGGTTAAAGTTTTAATGTTTGCCTTAAATATGGATGACATTAATTAAACAAATTATTATAAACATAGGTCCCAAAATAACCGACACCTATTAAAAATATTATACACCAAAGAATCCAAAAGTAAACTATGAAAGGGATTTAGTTACAATAGATTTAAGGAAGGAATAATATATCCTTAAAACTATAGTTATCTAGTGCTTATAATCAACATGATTTAATTCTTATAATTTAGAACCATTGTTCAATCCCACCTTTCGTTGCCCTCTCTCCTAGTCAGAACGTTTTGCAGGGAAATTATAGGTCAGGTGTTAGTTATAATTTATATAATTAGAATCAAACACAAAAAAAATTTTTAGTGTCATAATACTAGGAATACTTCAAATTAAAATGTATCTTTAAAAATAATCTATGTCCCAATTATTTTTTATAGAGGTCGTAACCCCACTAGGGTACGCCCCTGCACCCATCTCACGCGCATAGGAGCATTTGCATTGTCTGTTGGTATCCCCTTTGATTCGTTCCTTTTTGGTTGCTTTTCATTGCATTAAGTGAATGTATCTGCATGCATATGCGACACGACAATAGCCGTGTATTTAGAGGGGGAAACGGGAGCAGCCCGCTGCCAATTGCAACAGACGCCGCCGTCTGGCAGCTCGTTACGTGCCATCACGAAAGGCCCCCATTTCGGGCCCAACTCCCCATCCGGAGTTCCCCAATCGAACCCCCTCTTAAAGACCTGTTCGTTCCGATTTAAGTTCGACTTTTTGTGTTGGGTCATTGCCTACTTTTTGGGGCCCACGCGCTTCCTGTTTTTTCGGTTAGCCAACGCTCAGATTGCTTGATGGATGATTTTTGACCAATTGATTGATGTGCGAATTTTTCAAAGTTGACAAAGATTTCAGGTCCCATAGAAAAAGGACACGGCCACGTGGTCACTTCATGGCATAACTAGCCCCAACATTAATGGGTTAATTGGAGTAACCAACCCTTGTGTTGGGACTCCATTTCAACTTCGTGCACGGAAAGATAATTTAATATATAATACATATACGCTTATAATAATATTATAACATTAATTTTTTTTTAATGTTCCCCTTAGCTTTAATTTATTCACCTAACTTAGGAATTATAAGCAAGCTTCTAGAACCTAATAGTCAACTATATTAGTATTGATTTGATGATTGATTTGATTTTGATTGATATTGATTTTTGAAATTATAAATCTATATACTATTTTTTTTTAAATTCTTATCAATAAACCAAAGTTATAATTTCATTTTTCTGTGTATAAGCATAGAAGCAATTACTTATCTCCCCCCAGCAATACTTCAATGGGATCATTAAAAATGTATTACAAACTCAATTCCATAGACAGGAATTATATTTAGAGTTATGGTTCGACATAAACTTGTTTTCTAAACCATTTAACGACGTCCAATAAAAGTGTCAAACCCTGGGGTTCGAATGTTTCAGTGTTTTATGACTTTAATACGGCACCCCAAAAACACTCTCTACGTGGCCAAAAAGCGTTTTTAATTAACAATTACCACATCAGGACAAGCCCAGGAACACGTGTCGAATTCTGTGGGTTACCTCGGGGCCTTGGGTGCCTAAAATTGAGATAATAGCTGGAAAATTAGAGAAGGGTCCCTTGGCAACTAGGGCCCCAGCCGAAATCAGTGGAGAGGGCTACCCTCAACTGACTGTTGTTTCTAATTTCATAGCGCGGGCGGCTACAAAATCCACAACATGAACGGAAGACTGAAAGCCAGCCAGACCGCACCTAAACGCATGACGCAGTCGGGAACCCCCTTTTTCCGAGCTTAAAAACCAACTGCTTGCATTTTAATTACGTTGTTCTTTACACCTTAACGTGTTGAAATGCCATAAAAGACAACAAAAGCAACTGAGCCAACAAAGGGCAGCAACAGCCAAGTCGTGAAAAGGCTCAAAAGGAAAAAGGAAAGTGGAGCGCAGAGGTCGACGGGGGCTATAAGTCAGGATACCCTTTAGAAATTACAAGAAAAGTATCAGAAATAAATAAAGAAACCATTTTTTTTTCGTTATATATGAATGGTTTAATTACAAACTATGCATTAAGCAGAAAAAATTAAGAGCTTGTTAAAAAAGTACATGAATGGTATAGTTCATTTCTAAAAAATTTACTTAATTGTATTAAAAAAATTTTAAATATTTTAATAAAAGAATTACTGTCTTAAAGGTAACTTATGAATGCAAACTTATTATTTACATTTTTCACTTTCAAGAGCCAATAAAAAATAATACATTTAAATTCTGCTTAAAAATAAAATTAGCTTCTGCATATTTAAGGATATTTTCATGTCGATACGTTGGAAAAAACGTTGCATGCCTGTGGAGCAATTAAAAGTAGCTATTTGCTATCCCACATGGCGGACGAGCGAATCGCCCGAATTCCCCGGCTCAAAGGTGTGGAAATGCCCGTGAGTTGGCCAATGGCGACTTGCGCTTAGTGCGCGTGTTTGGCTCCATTTCGGTTGCCTTTCTGATTCTGTTTGCCTTTTTCTGTCGAAGTGTGTGGTCAGCTGTGGTCAATGATAAAAGCGAAACGATAATTTCCGTTCGTGGACCTGGGCGGCAAAGTGACCATTGACATGCAAATTTTCATTTAGGGCGAAAGCTTTCTGACAGCACGAAATGGTGTCGGATTGAAAGGTCAGAGTTCATTCGCTTGTGCAGCTGCCTGCAACTGAAATCTATTTATATTATACATTTTATAAGCAAAGCAGTAATGGAAAGACAACAGTTTCTCAAAAGCTGATAGAGTTTTACTTGTTATATTGAAAATAATTATACGCGTTTTTAAAACCTTGTTCAACGTGCTGCGTTGAAGCTTACACTTAAACATTCTTAGAATTCATATTTTCTTAATATTTAATACGTCTTAAATATTTTTTTTTCACTTTTAAACTATTTTAAGACTTAGACAACCTTGGACGATTAAAAACTAGTTGGTTAAATAAAGATGTTTAAGCGACAGGTGTTGAATTTAAGTAAAGAGATTTACTTTTTTGGATAAAATAAACTTGACGAGCTATTTGATGCTCTTATTCTTTCTCGATTAGGCTCTACAAGAAGTAAACTTGTGTAAGTAATGTAAGCTACGTACATTTGTTTAACTTTGCAAGATATTACCAAAGATTTACACTATTTTTAATGAAAATACGAAACTAAAACGACTTCTACTGAAAATAAAAACCTATTCAAGCACAGAGCTACAACCAAATATAAAGTTTACCCATAAAGGCTAAGGTGTAACTTAATTACAAGTTGTCTCCTGGCTTAGAGGCTCTGCATGGTAGCTCCAGGCCACCGCCCAGCGAGTGGTGTGTCCCTGGTGAAATTCCGTGGTGGTGACACTTGTCACCTGCCGCTCCTTTAGGTAGTTCAGTATCCTTGGCACATTGGCCTTGACGCCCAGCATTGTGGTGAAGATTCTGCCGCAGCGAAGAAAACCAACGTTAATTCAATTTCAGAAGGTAATCAAGATTGACTCACCGAACGCGCAGCTTGTTCTCCAGACTTTCATCTATGATGCGTTGCACAAACTGCACCTCGCCACCTGCGCATGTGAGTTCCTCCTGGCTTCCAGTTCGGGCATTATTCGGTGCAGGTCGTCTTTCGGGATTCCTGGTATTACCGCCAAAGGGATTTGGCAAGTTGGAATCGAAAAACGGTGGATTACACAGGCAAAAGTGGTACTGCAGCTCTTGTTGATCCTTCTCGAAGTAGCTCTTGAATATGCTCATCTTATCTGGCTGGGCATAGACTTCTATAAGGCTCTCAAGCTGGTTTTTCTTCACATTTTCCCTGGCGTATTCGATGTTTTGAAGTTTTGATTCCAGGGCCAACATGTGCCAGCCATTTTTCTTGGCTCCCAGCAGGGAGTAAATACAGGAAGAACCGCAACCTGCAAGGAAATCTCAGAGTATATCTTTATAACTCATTTAGGCATGGCTTACCTATATCTATCCCCCTAACATCCTTTAAGTTCAGTGGTTCCATTAGATCCTCTAGCCATAAAATATAATTTAAACGCAGGGCCAAAGTGGGCACCAAACTTCCAGGTGCAAAATCCACATTTAAATCGTAGTATTCTTTTAGCAGCATTTTTGTCAGTTCTCGCAGGGTCTTTTCATTGCGAAAATTCACAGAGACTTTGCCATTGAGTTCCTAAATTAATATAAAATTATAATTTAAGTTTTGTTGGCCCCAAATGCAAGTTTTCACACTCACCAATTCGCACTCTTGTCGAAAATCCTTGTATTTAATGGCCAATTTGGTATAGTCAGGCGGTTGGCGTAACACATTCCGCGGATGCATGCCAAATTTCTTGGCATTTCCTTTAGTTTTTCCCATGTTTTGTTAAAAATAATTACAATTGTTTATGAAATGAAATGCCGCCGAAATTCGAACAGCTGTTTAGTGCAGCAGTCTGGCAACTCCTGTTAGGCCCACAAGAGATGATACTTTTTCGATTACTTTCGGTAGTTTTTGGTTTTTTCCACGTGTCAGTGACTGGTCATACAACCACTTGTTGACTTAATTTTTGTAAACAAAAACAATAAACTCATGGCTTGGCCGGGTAAATTGTTAGTTACCTACGAAAACTTTTCCGCCGACTTGCCAGCCCTAAGGATTGACCAGAAAACAGAAGGATGCTCTGGTTCCTGCAACTGCAAGTGCAAGTGCTGTCAAGGATTCAGGGAGAAATACGTGGCATTCAATGGTGAAAACGAACTTGCCTCGCAATTTTCCGAAGGAGACGATGTCCAGAAAATGATGCGTTTCCGGAGCTCAGACATGTTGCTTTTACTGCAGGCAGCACAATTACGTGATAATTTCTGGAGCAATCAGTACTTCAAGGTTGACTTACAGGAGGATTATCAAGCTATTTTAAAGGTTTTTGAAGATAAAAACCGAAAAGTTCACTTGGAAACGGTGGCGGCAATTATGGATACAGTAAGCACTGGCTATAGGCGAGCAGTTAGCCAATTAGAAGGCCTAGAAGCACACGGAGCTCTACGCCCCAAGTTTGCCTCTTTTATCCTGCCAGGATTGCGTTGTGTTTGCTATAAATGTGAGCATCTTCCCTGGAAAAAGCTACAGGATGTGGAGGATCACCAAAGGACACATCGCTATACGGACAACTTTCACTGCCAGATTTGCTATAGGCGTTTCTACCTGCAACACTCATTAACCTCCCATATAAGCAGGCAAATGGGATCCTTCTCTGAAGAACTTTATGAAAATGAGAGATACAAGAGACTGCTGGAGAATCAAAAGTTAAAAGAACAAGCTGAATTGCAAATAGCACCTGTCAAACTTGAGGATATACAGGTGCCAGTTCCTAGGAACCTGAAGATGTACTTTAAGGAGGACTCAAAACCTCCCATCCAGAAACGAAAGAAGTCTATTCACACCAACTGTCCACTTTGTTGTGAAAAATACCGATTTTCCTTTAGCCACCAGCTACATATGGTTAGGCATAAAAAGGATCGCTCAGAACTAAATAAGCTTCATTTCTGCTCCTACTGCCACAGGTCCTTTCTCACCCTCAAGTTCCTAAAGAAACATCAAAAAAGAGTTCGAATTTCCAGTAATCTGCTCTATCGTCCTTTCAAGTGTGGTAATTGCCCACAGAGGTTCCAATTGTGGTCTTCCCTTGAAACACATTTAAACCAAATGCATAGAAAACAAAACACCTGTCTTATTTGCCAACTTCCAACTTTGGCTCGATGTTGCGGTGCACATACAGCCAGGGAATGCAGAGAAGCCATTAAAAAACACCGGGAAAAACAAAGACTTTTGAAAGGTCCACCAAAGGGAGGCTGCCAGAAAAAGCCAAAACCAATTTGCAAAGTGTGCGGCAGAGAGTTCGCAAATAATTTTTTCCTCAGAGAGCACTTGAACAAGAAGCATTTAAACAGGAGGAATTTTACGTGCGAAATCTGTGGAGCGAATTTCTACAGTCAGGGCACCATGCAAACCCATCGACAATCAGTGCATCTTTTGACTCAGACAATTAAATGCGAGGTGTGTGAGCTCATCATTAAATCTAAAAGAAATTACCTGAGGCACTTGAAATCTCAAAGTCACAAGGATAATTTGACTAAATTAGGAAGGGATAAGGACAAATGCAATGAAAATTTGTCCAGCAATCCATCAACAACTAATCATATTAACATTGCAATAAAATCCACCGAGGATCAGCATCTTATGGGATCGAGTACAGAATATTCAGCATTAAACAACGATAGAACAGTCGCTTCCCAAGATGGTCAAGAGAAAAACTGGCAAACGCCTTGCAGATTTCAAAAGCCAGTAAAAGTTACTTTTTGTGAACCTTGTGGAAATTCAATTATCGGTAGTATGCAACGGCATTGTAGGTCGACTAAACATAGGCTAAACATGGTTGTATACAACAAAAAGAACAACAACACTTTTTAACATTTATTTTTAAAATAACTTATAAAAGGTACCACCAGCAGATAATAAAAATCCGTCCAATGTTTGTTTAATAAGAAATTCTTTTTTTAAATGTATTGTAAAATTCGTACTTAATGTATAGTTTCTTAAAACATAATTGTAATTAAAATGTCTGGTCAGAAAAATACTCCATAACATAAATTACATTGACAACTCATCACAGACCACCTTAGTTTTTTAAAATAAATATAGATATAAACTAATAAATTATTCTTCAATCCTTTTTTTATTCTTGGTCCACCTCGTTTTTCATCGGTTTTTGTACAGATTTAAAGAGTATATTAACAAACTTTTAATATCTATTTTGTAACTTTTGACATGACTCTTCATTGTTTGATTTAAATAATCGCGGGTGAATATAAAATCGTGTTAATATACTAAATCCGTAAACTAGTATTATTTGAATTTAGGTTATTTTGTTGTTTATCGAACAACGGTCACTTTAAATAATTTTCGGAAAAAACAAAACACATTTTTACAGAAAACTCTGTTTTATTTGAATAATATTGATATTTCTGACTAATAATGTCGGAAACTAGCTCCAAGGATAATGTCAAGACGGCAATGACGTATATTTGCGGTGGTAAGTTGGTCACATAAAGTACTTCAAGAGATAAATGATTTTTTTCGGCACGCACATGGCTGCTAGGATAGCAACAATAATGGTCTAAAATGAGGTTTTATTAATTTATTCTAATTACTATATACTTTTAGAATGTCATCACGAGAACGAGATGCGACCCAGGGATCCAATTCGTTGTCGCGAGTGCGGATACCGTATCATGTACAAGAAACGCACCAAGCGTCGTAAGTAATCCATTTGTTGACCCCTGGAAGCCTCCAATGATTCTCAAACTGTACTGATGAAATCTTTCTTCTAATTTGCAGTTGTTGTCTTCGATGCCCGTTAAAACCCCTAAAAAGTAATGGATACCCGTCTAAACAATATTTTTAAGGAACTAGTTTGTAACTCCACAAGGCTTATGCGTCAATAAAAGTCCTTTTATAACTCAAAAAGTGTTTATAAGAAAACAAAATGGAAATTGTTATAAGAACCATTAAAAATTAGACTGCACCTCTACTAAAAATTCTTGTATTTATAAATTTTGTTGATTATGGTAATAGCAAAATTTCACTCATGATATATCACATTATATATCTGAAAACCCAACATGGAGGAACCCATTTCACATGTTAGATAAGCAAGACAAAACAATCCCAAGCCAAAGAAAATTAAAAGACTTCTGGTTTATATTTTAAACTAATTTTATATTTTATTTTGAATGTTTTGGAAATATATAATTTTAAACTAAAAACACTCACATTACAGTTATTGTAATTATACCTTTTATTTTTTGCAAGTTTCATTGCTTAAATAAAATTTAAAGTAATTCGGTTTGTTCTTTTTTGTTTCCTTTCTTATAAATGTCTTTTTTCGTCTCAAAAATTTTGTCTAAATGGCTTGTCATCCAAAAATTTACTTTACTTAAGAATTTTCTCTTCGTTTACGCTTTAGTTTAGTTTTGTGTAATAAATTTACGTTTTTTTTTAGTTTTCCACATTTAGCAAAAACACACATTTTACACTAAAATTGTTTATACCTTTATTCATATATACCATATCTTTCCCCGACACTTTTCAGTCAAATATTTCTTGTTCAGTGTGGTAAAAAGTTGTATTCTAGCCATGTTCTTTGAGTATTTTGTAAGTTGTTCTTGTGTTTCTTTCCTGTTCTGCTCGCCGACTTTCTATTCCTTTTCTTTCTGATAAAATCATGAATACATCTACACGTACAGTAATATAGTTTTTGTTCATTTTGTTTTGTTAATATTTATAGACGTTTGTTTTTCCATATTTAAAACGATTTGCGTGAGAATGGTTTTTGTTTTTCGTGGGCATTGTGGGCGTGACTGCTGCTCCGAGGAGTAACTAAATCAACTAAAACTAAATTTATATTCACGTTAAAGCTTAAATGATAAGTAAGGCAAAGGGTTCGATGAGGTTCGCGTTTGCAGTTCATAAATTAATCCATAAACTAAGGTAACTAGACGACTAAATGCTAGGTGTAAAAAGATGGCAATCATTACTCGTAACTAAACTGAAGCTTTGTAAATGGCAAATTAAAGCTTTTACTTCACATTTCATTCAATCGAATACAAATACAAATGGAGGAAATCAGGGGCTGGGACACATTTGATAAATGCTCATTCCAGTTAAATTACTAAATAGTTAAATATCCGTATTTAAATGTTAATTGTGAGTGGGGTGTGTTTGTGAGATAGCTCACTTGTACAACTAAGATAATGAAATTCACTTGCAGTCGGCTGTAAAAGCGCTTTCAGGACCGTTCGCATGAATTGTGTTTGTTTGTTTTTAAGTATTTTTTTGTTTGTTTAAGAGAAATCATATTTCAGGTACATCACAACTTAAAATTTAAAAAATTAAATGCAATTTTTTAAATGATTTTCAATGTCAAATGCCTAATGCATTCCATATATGGCAAGCAAACATTTTCTAATTTTAAGCGAATAAAATAGAACCGAAACAACACGGCCACATTAACATTTTTCCGCCTGTCCGCGGCGAATCCTCTTCTGCAGAGCTGCCTGCAGCTTTTGTCTCCCAGTTGAGGAGGAGGATCCCTCCTGGCCATGTCGCCAGTACTTGTGTAGGGCCAACGATCCCAGCGTGTGATAGTTGAAGCTGATGGAGCTGTTCTTTCGCGACTGGTTGCACTTGAGGCAACCCAAGCGCTGCCGCACCATGCGATTGAGGTACTTGTCCCTCAGTAGAGTGACCACAGCCTCGGGCGTCAGGCGGATCTTCTTGGGCTGAGCCTGCTTGCGCGAGCTAGACTTCTTGCTGAAGTCCAGCGGTGCAGCCAGATACTCCTGCTGGCTGGCCGCATCCGCCAGCAATGGCAACAGGGTGGCCAACTGGTTGAGGGATTTGCGGGAGGCATGCG